GGAAACGTATGGTTTTATCCTTGGGGTATTTTGAATGATTATATGCTATTTTTAGCATAAGTTTTGGGATTTGATATGTTATTATCAACTAACTGGAATAAGAGTAACATAATCAGGAGAGGTGTATATTTTGTAATAAGAGTGATATAATCAGGAGCTGAGTAAATTTGTAATAAGGGTGGTACCATCAGAAACTGGGTATATTGGGATAAATGTGGCATAATCAATTTTCTGACAATAATGATCTTTTGATCATGGGATATTATTATCACATCTTTATGATGCGATGGACTTGATTTTTATCGCATGTGTTTAATACGATGAGTTTGAGATGGAATGAAATGAGTTGTTTTTATCGCATCCTTGTGATGCGAGGAATAATATTCATCACATCTTTGTGGCGCAAAAAGTGGTGTTTATCGCAACAATGAGATGCGACAAAAGTGTTTATCGCATCAAGTGTGGTGCGACAAGTGCGTTTATCGCATCCTTGAGGTGTGACAAGTTTGAGTTATCGCATCTGAATGATGCGAGGAAATATTTTATCACATAAATGAGATGTGACAAGTTGGTGTATTATATGTTTGATGCAACAAGTTTGATATATCATGTGTTTGATGCGATGAAATGGGGTTGTCTCATCTATATGATGAGGCAAAAGAGGTTTGATACGATAAATGTTATTTACATGATGTCTTTTCAAATATTAGTTTTCCAAAAACAAATAAGTATTTTGTTGATTTTCACCCTGTAATAGCAATCAATTACTTACTAGACTTTATGGTCTAACCCTCGTTTTGTTTTCAAAAATATATATTACAGGTCAGACACATATGAAAGGGAAAGGGAAAGAAAAAATGTGAAGAGATTTGTTATTGCTTTACATCTGTGAATTTTTGGGAAGCTGAATATGTACATGACTTGTAAATTTGTACTTATGTGAGCAAAACGTTTGTAGCTACTTTTGTATGTAGCAATATGTGTACATTTGGGACCAATGTGTATATTTGTATTTCATGTTATATGAAATATGTAAATTTTATGCAAATGGGAGTTTGGGTGTTACAAAAGATGTCCTTTTGATAAATTATAACCCCATCCCTCTCTTTCCTTTTTTCGCCCCCATGTCGCCACACAGAGGGCATGTTTTTCGAGGAGGACCAAAAGGATATTCCATTTCCCCCATTACTATACATATCATAATACGACATAGTTGTAATTTTAAAGGATGGGTCGTAGGTTAAAAGAAAATATTAATTTCAACCATTCTATATAACTGATGAAAACTGTTTGAACTCACTAGACGCTAAGCATAACTTTTTTCTTTATAGGCATGTGCATCAGGTCCTTCGGGAAACGATACTAGCGACAGTGTGATGAAATGAGTTCTAGTTAGAGGGACGAGAAGTAATTAGCAAACTCGAGATGTCTTCCGTACTTTGGAGATGGTGACAACTATTGGGTTTGTAATAGTACTCGTCCTTCGTTATAGACTTGTATGAGGTTTGAAATATTATTTATTGATATTAAACCCTAGATAGCCATTATAGGTAATCAATTGTGAATTCTTATAAAACTTGATATTTTATTGAAAATTTTAAATTAATCGTTATTTCCAGATTTAAGAGTGTTACACATTCCTTTCATAATTGTTGTTAAACTACGAACATGAGATCTCTCTCGATCTTTGAAACCACATCTTCAATTTGTCTTTGAGTTCAACTTCCCCAATGGATTTTACAGCTAGTATTATTTGTTCAAGAATTTCAACAAACATGATTTACCTCTTAGCAATTCAGAGTCTGCCTCTTAAAGGAGCTATTAAGAGGCAAACAAACAGTCCCTAAGTCATAATGTTACGCAGAGAGAGAGAGAGAGAGGGGGGGGGGAGTATTTGGATAATGTGAGAAATTTTGAATTTGATCAAAATACCTTTTAAGCTTATAGATGATTTTTTTTTGGGAAATTGTGTCCAACTTCATTTTTTAGCTATTTTTTCAGTTAAACTTCTATTTCAGTTAAGAGTTTACGTTGATTTACGCATCTTTGTAAAGCCTTTCAATTTTTTTAAAAATTTATGTAAAATAAGCAAATTTGTGTAAGGATTCTCATTTGTGTAAATATTTTTTTCTTTTTAAAATAAATCTGAAAATAAGCTTTACACAACATAAGATATTTGCGTAAATTTTAGCTAAAATGGGAATTCGATGATTAAGATGGCTAAAAAGTGAATTTGGTTGAGGATATTGACTGTTTTAGTCAATTTCCCTTTCTTTATCCAATCGCCACAAAATTTGCGGTGGCAATTTCATAAATAAGTGGAAATCAATGGTGTGACGCAAGGGACATCACTCTTTTTTATCTATCTTAATTCACATTCACCTGTTTTAATATACCTTCAGTCATATAAGATCGTCATGGATATATGTACATCAAATATAGAGTTGTATCATATTATATTGTTGATACTTTATCACTTTATTTGTAATAATGTAAATGGACCAACAAAATTTTGACATACATTTTTTAAATGAGCATATCAACGATGATGATATAGGGATAAAAATCACCTATCTCAAATTTTTATATTCCATTCATGTCCACTAACCATATAAATACACGTAATCAAGGAGAGAAAATAAACATTAATTAATTAAATAAATTTAAAATATATAAAAATATTTATCTTAATTTACTTGGTGGGGCAAGTGATTTCTATCCATCACGCGGATCGATGAGGATAGTTTCGTCATACATAGTCTAGCCGTTTTAATAAGAGACGAGAATGTGACAAATTAAAGGACACAAGTGGGCATCATGGTATGTGGAGCACGCAAAATAAGAATAGGTTAATCTGGATATCCAACCTGCTATGTGAACCGATTAATCTTAGGACGACCACCTGTTTTGCAGATAGTCCGGAGTCATCGTATTTGAACCTACGTGACCACAAGGAGATTTTTATTTCTCATTGGATTTGAACCTGGGACCTCCTGGTACTTTTGACATTTGGGGTCAAGCTCAAACCAATCAGGCACCACCCTTGTGGTTTAGGTAAGGGTGGTGTAGGTTTCTTAATTTGCGAGCTACCATTTCTATTTATATTCGATTTGGTTTTGAACATTGGTTCTGGTGTCATATGGAAAAATTATCTGAATTGATAGAGATGTCTAAACTCTGCCCGAGCCGTTTCATTTATTTCAAATAATCTTCGGATTTTTGGACATGTTAGATTTATTTTTAAGTTGAATGTGATTTTGTTGAAAATTAGAATAAGCATGGTTTCCACAAGCGAATGGAGGGTACAAGGGAGGAACTACATGGCACAGATGAATAATGGTAAAAATTTATATAGTTTTAAGGGGTTGTTTGTTTAACTTTTAATAGTTTCATTAAGAGGCAGCCTCTGAATCATTAAGAGGTGAATCTTGTTTGGCGAAAAATAAAGTTGTCTCTTAATGGTTCTAAAACCTCCTGAATGATTTTGTATTAAGGGTCTCCCTTAACCATTCAGCACCCTAATTTCATTGTAAACAATTATCAGACGATTATATTTCATTTTGTACTATATCATGAGATACTCTTAATCATTCTGACCACTTAATCATTTTATACCAAATCATTTAGCAACTGACAAACAATCCCTAGCTTTTCTGATCATCTATTGTTTTGCCTATAAAAACACTCTTTCGAATTCAAAAGAACGTGCTCCGAACATATATTCGTGTTAGTATGAGTGCGAAGGGTATATGGTTTGCTTGAACGGAATGGAATCCTTTTGAGGTACATTTAAAAGGTGGAAAGGCTTGTATGGGGAAAGATGGCAAGGTATATTAGAAGCCATTAAATTTTTCTGATTGGTCACCTACTCAAATGGTGCCATGGAAGTTCCCGCTAAGAAAGAATTGATGAGGGTGAGTGCTTGCTTCGGTTTACGAAAACTGGTCAATTTAATCCGAAATAGCAAATAATTCTACGGGATGAAAGTTTTTAATTTTGGCCATGGAAAACTAAATTAGGGGGGTCGACTGTTGGAGGGTATTTCGAACTAAAGTTGAAACAAAGACGGGTGCAATCATTAGAGGGGGGTCTGGTCCGGGAGCAGCCCATCTAGGAAATCCAGGTTCGTTCTAATCTTTTCGTAGGCCAGAAAAGCAGGTTACATCTGTTACAAAAAATATAGAAAGACGGGTTACAGATTAGGATTCTGCTGTGAAGGTTGAAGCATGGCCGGAAGGCCCGGACACATGTAAAATTGGACTCCAAAATTTTGGAGCCGAATCCCTTATTTAACATACTAAGGATCGACACTGAGGAAATCCTTTGGACCGAATATGAACGTCGGAGTCGGAGTCGGTTCCGTCTGGGCTTTATGCCGTGTTCAGAATCCCTTATTTAACGGCTGATTGTTGTAAGGAAATACTCAGATGCCATCTTCTCATAGTGATGCCGTTGGCGGTACAAGGAGGAGTAAAGATCGACCTTGCCCATTTCTTCATAACCAATATCCGTTATTTGGGCACACTGCTGTGAGGGCTCAAGAATGGGTTCCTTCCTTGTTACATGCTCCCTTCAATTTCTTGGGAGTTTGATAAGAAATCATACCGGATGCCCACATAAATTCGTCACTTCCAATATAATCATCCATCAGACCATTCCCCACCTCTGTTCCACATTTTTATTATGTAGGAAACATGTAACAAAAGCTTGGTCAGACCAAAATCCATACCATCTAACCCTCAAGATTAATTGGGCTTTCCGCGTTGGCTTTGTTATGTCTCACAATGGCTTCGCTTAATTGAGGAACATAATTATCTGAGAGAAGTTCAAGCTTTTAGATCCATGGTTGTTCAGATCGACGATGGTCGGTGGTAGTAGTCACCGGTGGTTCAGATGGAGGTGATCAACGATGGTTCAGATCGACGGTGCATAAAATATTAAACAAACAACTTGATTTATATTAGACATATTAAACTCTTTTTTATATATAAATAATTGTACTTATTACATGAACCTAAATTTTTCCACAATCTACAAACGCGCAATAGCCAATTGTATCAAATTACGATCGTGGCAAAATTTCAAAAACGACGGCCTTGACTGCTTAGATTAGATGGCTCACATCTCATATGATAAAGGTTTGAAGTTTTTCTGAAGCAGAAGTTTTGGACTTGATCACCTGCTCAGATGGTGCCATGGAAGTTCCTGCTAAGAAAGACTTGATGAGGGTGAGCGCTTGCTTCGGTTTATGCAAAGGTACCTCGTGCCCGGCTCCTCTAACGGTTACATAGGTCAACCCTTCATACGTTTGTGTCCGTCCTGCCACCTATTTCAATCGTATTTCAAATTACCATGCAAATGATTGAATAGAAAAATACAAAACAACGGGACCATGAGGCCCACATACGTTCCAATGTCAGTTTTAGACGAATGCGTATATTTGTTGAGGATGGATGAAATTACCTGGCCGTCCTCGTACCAGGCATGCCAAGGGTTGATCGTTGTAAGGTTTAGAGCGTCTATGCTGTAATGTGTAGAAGTAACGGGAATCACCCCATCCGTATCACCACTTGAACAAAACCAAATTTTCAAAACATAAGATAAGAAACCAAGAACAAGATCATCGGTGGTATTGTCTTTAGAGAACTATGAGTGAAGTACCTGTATACCCAGATACGAAGTCCTGAACTTATAAGTTCATGATAGAGATCGAGCATGGACGTAGGAGAATCTTTCCAATACATCTCTACAGCATCGCTGCACGACAAGATCAATAGCATCAAATGAAACAATGTTGGTTAATGGTGGCTTGTATTGAAGTAGTACCTGCAGATTTCCCATCTTCTTGATGTGTTGTTACTCTGATAAACATGAAGTGCATTTTGGACCTCCGGCGAATTGAAGTAAACCAAGGAGTGTTGCTGCGTGCACGGATCATAACTCTGCTGGACCTTCTGTTATATGACAACATATTCCATTCATCATTTGAATAACGAGTACTCTAAGCTCTACTCTACAAAGCCATTAATACTCTACAGAAGTGTTGTGTGACAAGAAGGTTCCATAAAAAGCTGAAGGGAAAATTCTACAGTGAGTTATGTTGCATGAGTTGAAGTGTTGGGTGACAAGGAAGGCCCATGAGAGGAAATCGGAACTCGGAATCTGTAAAAGTACGTTTAGATGGACATGTGGTTGTACCACGTTGGACTAGATACAAAATGAGGTCTTCTTGGCAGAGTTGGGAGTTGAGCTTGTTATGGATAATTGCAGGAGATACAATGTGGTGGTTTGGTAACGTTCGCAGGAGATAGATGGAGGCTCCAGTAAGGAGGTAGAAAGAATGATGGTCAGGGGGCAATGAGGAGGGGTAGGTTGAGAAGTACGTGCGACGAGCAATTGAGGAGGGACATGAGAATCTTAGACATTTCCGAGGATATGAGCTATGATAAGAGTTATTGGAGAGAGTGACGGACCTCGAAGTTTTGCTGAGAGGGTGCACCTTTAAGGTGGATCAAAGTCTCACAAAGTCGTTCGACGTGTTTTTAGCGTAATTCTACCATTTCGAGGGATTCTTTAAGTTTTTTGGTTTATTTCAAGGGACTTTTCGGTTTTTTGGTTGGGAGTTCTTTTGGTTGATGTTCCTTGTATTTCTAATATCCCAGAACACCCTTTGAAGTTTAGTGGGTGCACCTTTCGTACCTCATAAAAATTCTAAAATAAGTTGAGCAGATGCTCAAGGCTTAATAGGTCTGCCTCTGCACAACTAAAGTAATTGACTAGGGTTGTGGACGCTTAGCTAAGGTAAACCAGAGGAAAGGAGTAGGATACAGCTGATAGTACTTATTAGGATCCACAAAGTCAAGTTGCTTATCTACCCATCGTGAAAAAGCTGATAGTACTTACTAGAGTCCAAACAGTTCTTTTGTTGTGGATGTGGACTTTTCATGAGAGTGGGAATAATGCTTTTGGACCCTAATGTGTGTCTGAATAGCTGTATATAACAGTCTTTTATTTGTAAACCAAACAGTTGAAAGAAAGCATATACACTGGAGTGTGCAGGGGTATGCTGATTATTAGTATTCAGGGAAATACTCACATGCCATCGTCTCATAAGCCTCTTAGTGATGCCATTGGTGGTACAAGTAGGAGTAAAGATGCTATAAAAATCGATGTTGCCCATTTCTTGATAAGCAATATCCGTTATTTCGACACACTGCTGCGCCGGGTTAAAAAAGGATTCGTTGCTGCATACTTTGTTCAATTTCTTGTAAGTTTGGTCCGAGATCAAACCAGATGCCCACATATATTCGTAACGCCCAATATGATCACTGTAATCATCGATTAGAGCATTCCCCACCTGCGTTACATATGATCCTATCTTTATCTTAGAAAATGCAGATACAAATAAGTAGTAAACATGTAACAGAAAAACTTCCGTACCATGTAACCCTTGAGATTAATTGGGCTTTCAACATTGGCTTTGTTGTGTCTCACAATGGCTTGGCTTAATTGAGGTACATAATGTCCTGAGAGAAGTTGATATCACATCCCTTTGAGTCTTGATCAAAAGGAACTGATATGCGGGTCTACTTTCATGGATTCATAGCATAGCAAAAAGGGAATTCTCATATCTAAATTAACATTCGTTTACCTGCATAGCTCTCGCCGGTTATATAGAAATCCCTTCCTTTATATTCGGGGAACCGCTCGATCCAATTTAATAGGAATTCAAGCGAATCCGCAGCTGCAACACCATAGCACAAATCAACAAGACAGAAAGTGCATGAACATCATATATATATATATATATATATATATATATATATATATATAAGATGTTAGAAGTTTGAAGTTATATGTACCAGTTCTTTTATCGCCATTGTTATAAATATCCGAAGTTGTATTTGAATAAGAATAGCCAACTCCAACAGGGGAATCAAGAAACAATAAATTTGCCACTGCAAAGCAGTTAACAATTAGTATTAAACAAGTTTTTCAATGATGAAACTGATACTAATTTTGGGAAAAACATCACACAAACTCCCACCATTGTTCCAAGAGTATGGGTTCAAGTAAAGGGACTTTCCATCTTTCTGGACATGGAATGGACCAAGTTCTTCAGCCATCCCATATGCAATTGATGAACATCCAGGCCCTAAATGAACAACCCAGAATCTAGATTTAGAGCTGAATATAAATAAGAAGCAGCAAAAAGCGTATTAAGTAATAAACCTCCATTGAGCCAAAGAACAAGAGGTTTTGAAGCAGGATCCTCAACAGCCTCAGTCAACCAGTAAAACAGAGCTCTCCCAGACTCTTGATTCACTGTTACATAGCCAGCATAATGTTCGAACTCGACATTGAAATTTTGACCAGGCAGGTCCTTTACCTGGTCCAACTTCTGCTGAGCTATCGGGTCTGAATCAGACAAAGTTAGGCTACATTGAACTGAAATTAAGACGAAAATAACAAAATCCCAACTCCAAGCTGACATTTTTGGTTAGGGTTAATCTGGAATCGGGAGCAAAATGAGGATTAAATGAGAGCTCCAAGGAGGAAGTTGAATATGTTATACTTGAAGATGGAGGTTGGTAGTGATACATGCCTTTCTCCGATTTGTTTATTGGCCGGGTGGGATTACTTATCAAAATAAATTATTGATTTATTTAATTGAGGCATCGGTAATAAACATTTTTGATTGTTTTGATAAACAATTTATAGCGGTGTCAAACAGGTAATAAAAAATTTTAAAAAAAGTTAAACGCTTCTGATTTATAATAAGTTGATAAATGCTTCTATAAAAAAGTATAAGTTGTTTCAAATAAGCAATCCCAAACACCACCTTAGGAGTTGGGAATCAGATCCACTTTCAGTTAAATTAATTTCTCTTCATTTATTACAAATTAGCATTCAAACCCTTGTTGACATTTTTAGCCATCTTGACCGGTATTACCCAATCGTCTACGATACATGAATATTCAGTACCGAGTTGTATCATTTTACATTCTTGATATGCTAATGGTAATGAACCAACAATTTTTTTTAACATAAATAATTTAAATATATATAAGTGATCTGGATATTCAACCCGCTATACAAGCTAACTAATCTCATTTGCCGTAGTTTGGAGTCACTGCATTTGAATCTTTGTGGTTATAAATGGATTTTTATTCATCTTTAGATTTAAACCTAAGACCTCCAGACACTTTTGACCATTGAAGTCGATGTCGAACCAATCAATCATCAATCTTATGGTTTATATTTATGATTTTTTAAGGTTTATGTATTAAAGAGAGAGATTGGAAAAAAAAAACATGGAGAGTAATTCAGACCTCAGATCATCAGTATATGGCTTATTAGGTGAGAGAATCACAATGTTGCAATCTTAATTAATTGCATGCCACCCACGAGGATAAGTAAATTAATCGTTTCATTCCGCTCTCTTTTTTCTCTCGTTCACGTATTACATAATCTATGAGGATACTCGTACAATGCAGCGATATATATCTTGATTTTAATATTTTACTTTATTTTTTTAGTCTCTGTCGATATTATAATACGAATTTATGTTGTTTTGAACAAGCAATAATGTTTTTCTTTAATAAAATATAAATATAAAGATAATATAAAAATTAAAAAATATAAAAGTTCTCATTTTTTATGTAATTTATTTAATTCAATTTTTTTAATTATAATTTAATTTAGGTTTAATGACGAAGTAATTTATTTTTGGTTTAATGTTATAATTTTTATAAAGATAATAACTAAGTATTCTGTTAAACACAATAATCATCCTAACTATATTTCATATTTTATATTTAAAATAAGAATTTTATTCTCTATTTGATTATATTTATCCACAATTAATTACACGGATTCAAACACGAAGTTTAACAAGTTGTACTTACACATGATTTATTTATAATCTTAAATTTTAAGTAATATGTATCAATAAACATGCTTTATATATATAATATAGTATAGATATATAACTTAAATTGCAAAAATAAATACCTAAAGTAATATTTAAATTGAAAGAATTTAAAAAAGCTACTAACTAAAAGCTTAACAAATTTCTGCCCCAAACTCTCTTTTTATCTATATCTATACTATCTTATAAAGCAAATTTATCAAAAGTCTTAAAAACAATTTTTAATGCATAAAGTACTATACATTTATGTACAAAGTCTTAAAAATCTTAAAAACAACTCATAGTGCATTAAGTATTACTACTTTATGCATTCCGTCTTAAAATCTCTTAATCTACGATTAAAATAACATATAGTACAAGTTACCAATACACATTATTACCTTTTCTTTTCATGTTCCTAAGATTCTTTTGACACCTTTCACTTATGCTTTCACCATCTCATACCTCTATGTCTTCTCCCCATCCCCCAAGGTGAGATTCACACTGATATTCACCATGAGTTATTAAACGTTCTCGTTTTCATCTCTCATTCAATTGCTCTAGAACTCTCGGTCTCGTTCTCGTTCTCGATCTCTTGATTATTTACTCTTGGTGCAAATCGAACGCATTTGTAGAGTCGTTTAAATATATTGGATTTTAAACCGTCATACAATTTTTTTCATCGATAGACTGTAATTGGAACCATAACTCTTATTTATTCAAATTGTATTAATATGTAAAGACCAAATGTAACTTATATCATCGTTAAATCTTCTCTAATAAAACAGTGAAACTTCAAAATCGTTAAAATTCACAGCTCCCGCCGCATTGCGCGAATACACAACTAGTAACAAGAAATAGAGGGGGAAACATAAAAGTTAAAACCCAAAAGATGAACTCCTCAAAAATAGATAATTCTTCCAAAATTAGATAATGACAATATTATTGTGACATGTTTTTCCTAAGAATGTATAATAATTGACAGAAACCATAAATGTGATATCTGATTGGTTTGAGTTTGGGCTCCAACTCCAAAGGTCAAAAGTGTTTGGAGGTCCCAAGTTCAAATCCAATGAGGAATAAAAATCTCCTTGTGGTAACGAAGGTTCAAATACGGTGACTCCAAGCTACCCACAAATCAGGTGATCATTCTGAGTAGGGGTGCTTAAAAACCCAACCAACCCAATGCGAAATAACTCAACCCGAAGCAACCCAATGTCTAATCGAGTTGTAAAATTCTCAAACCGTAGGTATTGGGTTGATATTTGGTTACTATTAAACTCAACCCAATGAACCCGATATCCTTTTATTTCTTGGATTTAATATGATTGTTGAATTTCTATTAATATATGCATTAGACAATAACACTATCACGGATTATCTTCATATACACATCTTTTCAATCTATTCACATTTCTATATAACTCATTCGTATATATGTTTAGTAATTATAAACATATATACATAAATTGAGAAAATTAACTGAATGTGATATACGTAAGAAGTATGGATAAATTGTATCAAATGGTTGATGATAAAAAAATAAATTATGAGTAGAGAAATAACATATTCAAGGTTAGAAGAATATTTTAATGTACCAAAGTATCAACCCAACTAACTCGTACGGTTTGGGTTGGGTTAAGATTTTTCAAACCGCAAGCATTGGGTTGAGTTGATTAATTGTCTTCAACCCGATCAACACAACTCATGAACACCCCTAGTTCTGAGATCAATCAACTTGCATAACGAATTGGACATCCAGGTTAATAAAAAAAATTATAAACTTAAAAAATACAATTTTATTTGAGTTATCTTACGATATATAATAATTTTTTGGTAAACTTTGTCAACTACTTTATCATATTCCTTTAGCACATGATTCATGTTTTTTTTATAATGTAAATGTTTTTATAATCCTTCTTATAGAATATTATTTATATAGATTGTGGATCACATTTTATATAACAATTAAACAACTTATTTTCTAACTAAAAATCTTGATAAATATTTGCATAAAGGGTTATAAGGTCAAATATAGCGTCTATTGTGGGACCAAATCGATGTCATGCCACTTCATTGATGAATTTTTTTATACGTTTAAAGCTTGTTTTCGTTTTTTTAATGGAATATTTTTCTTGTTAAAAAGACTGTTTTATAAAAATCGTCCAAAACAATACAATTAGGGGTGAGGTGGGCTCTCGTATATACACGTACATATATTGTTCAGTCGTCTGGTCGTAAAAAAAATGAGTCATATAAATGCAACCGTTTCAACTAAAGGGGTGGATTTAAATATTTTAAAACCAAATTTATAACAAGAATTATGAAGTGAATAAGATAGCAAGCACGTTGCCCTTTGAAAGGCTGCGTGTTTGATTCTTGTTTTTAGCAAAAAAAAAATCAGGTTTTTTATTTTTTATAATTCAGATTTTGATACTTTAATGAAAAAAATGTAAGCAATAACAAGAATATTTCTAGTTTCATAATCTCTGGAGAGAAGGTTCATCCGGATCCCACGAGTGAATTGAAAGTTGGATCTACATTGGATCTCACTTGAATCGTCCATCTATCCTCCTGAGGAGTTTGGTTTCAAACCCAAATAGTTGGGAAAAGGTCGAACCCATGAGTCCACGACCTCCTCTAACAAAAGAGAGCAATAAACCAACCACTCTATCGGGATATTTATTAAAAAAAATTATATAGCTTTCACCTTTATAGTCTAATAGCGTTTGATTTTCTTTTTTTTTTATCGTAAAAACTTGTTTATCGTTTATAATAAAATCGTATTTTTTATATTATAATACTTTTTGATGCAGCTGCTAAGCAAACATTCTGGACCGTTTCTATAATTACGATTTTTAAGTATTTATAGTCAAAATAGTCGAATTATGCTTTAAATGTACCTAACTTTTTATACATCAGTTGCATTTTCAGTGAGTTTTAGGGCCTATTTGTTTTTCAAAATTCGCCTCTTAATTACGTCTGAAGTTTGATTTGGTTAGACATATACCATTTCAGACTGTTTGTTTTTTTTTTTCAAATTAAGAGCTTAAAACCTCTTAAAATCATCTGAATTTTAAGTGAAAAGTGTGACTCTGAAATTGCTTTCAGACGCCTCCTCCCTATCTCGCTCCCGATCTCGACTTCATTCCCGCCTCTCAAATTCAGAAGTCTCCTCCAGATCTCATCTCAGCTCTCGATTTCACTCTCGATCTAAAACACCTGAAGCTCCGGATCTCGATCTCTTCTTCTTCCTCTCGATCTCTCTGAAAACCCACAACAGGAAGCATGAGTCGCTCTCGATCTCTAGCATCGCTCAATCTCACAGTCGCTCACTGAGCTCCAGCTCTCTCACACAATGGATCTGTGTTCTTCATATATATATATATATATGAATATATATATATATATATATATATGAATATATATATATATATATATATATATATATATATATATATATATATATATATATATATATATATATATATATATATGTGTTCTTCATATATATATATGATTGCAAAGAAGAGGAAATGGAAGGGATGAGAGATTAGGATTGGAGGAGGACGATGATAGCAAAGAAGAGGAGAAGCTGAGAAGAAAGATGAGAGTTGAAGTG